CCAGGACACCTCTGGCGACCTCTGGATCTTGGGAGACGTCTTCATCAGGGTGTACTACAGCATCTTTGACCGGGCCAACAACCGCGTTGGGCTGGCCAAGGCTGTTTAGACCCACCACGGTGGGAGCAGGACTGCTTTTGGCACAAATAAAGAGCTGGTGGTTCTGAGCTGGTGGCTGTGTGAGTGTTTCTGATGGAATGGCAGGAGGGGCTGGGGCTCTGTCCACGCCCAGCTCCAGCCACGGCTTTTGGCACAAATAAAGAGCTGGTGGTTCTGAGCTGGTGGCTGTGTGAGTGTTTCTGGTGGAATGGCAGGAGGCAGGAAGGAGCTGCGTTGTGGGGGCCAAGGACCCTTTGGTCACCACAGCTCTGCTGAGGCCCTTGGGAGCTGTGATCACTGCAGGGCTGAGGGGTGGAGGCCAAGATTGGCTCTTTTATTGGGGCTACAACAAGTGGTGGATTCTGGAACCCCCAAATTTCCACCCCAGGCACAAACCACCCCTGTAGACCCAAAACCACGTCCCAGCAGTTCCTGCCCCACTAGCTCCCCATCCCTGGGCACAGGGCTTGTTCCCACTTTCCCTGCAAGGTGTCTGACAGCCCAAAGCCAGCCCAGGGCAGGGAGTCCCCCAGGAGGATGTGGCTCAGCTGGAGATTTCCCTTGGACCACCCAAGAGGGCAGGAAAAGGCTTTCACCCAGTGCCTGCTGTGGTGAGGCTTGTACAGAAGCACAGAACCTGCACAATTCTGTTTTGTGAAGGAAATTACCTCCTCCAACCCTATCAAAAATGGAGGCTGCCTCTTTCCCCAGGAGCAGCTGCAGTGGAATTGCTCAGCAGGAAGCCAGGAGGGAGATCCAAGTCCCTGCTGTGTCTTCGTTTCTGCAGTGCTCAGGGACAAAGGACTGCTTGCTTTATTTATTGATAAATAAATGAGGGACAAGGAGCTTGCTTTATTTATTGGTAAAGGAAACTCCACCACTGGTGGGGCTCCAAACCCAGCAGGAACAGGGATGTGGAGGGGCAGATCCAGGTGATTGAGATTGGGAATTAATTATTGTCTTCTTGCACTGTGTAAAAACTGAGAGGATGTGATGTGGGATGGTGGGAGTGGGATTTACCCCCCACATCCCTGGGATTCCCAGCCCAGCTGGGGGGAATCCCTTGTGCCCAAGAACAAGAGTGACCCAACCCCGGATTTTGGGCACGTGGGACTTGCCCTCGGCTCCATCACAGGAATTTTCTCATTACTATTGATGCCTCAGGTTTAGCTTTTCTATGTTTCAGGTTCTGTGCTGCTTTAGTGTGTGGGTCTGGGCTTCACTTCAGGGGATGCTGAGCTCTCTGCACAGAGCAGGGACACAAAACAATTCCTGCTCTAGCTGGGGACCAAGGACAAATGATCCAGATCTCAGCCCCCCACAAACAACGTGGGCTGGAGAGAGAAAAAACAGAAGGATGGGACTTCATGGGCTAAAGCTGGAACTGGACAATGAACTCCAATATGCAAATGGAGCAGAACTGATAAAAGTGAGAGACCCCATGACCATTGTGCATTTTGGGACCATTTTGGTTCATTTGGGTGCAGCCCTGGCTGGACTCTTGTGCTGCCCAAGGTGGATCCATTGAGGCCTTTTGATAAATCCCTGCTTTATTCTTTAGCTCTGTCTGGTCTCTGTTCTAGCTCAGCCTGCACAAGGCACCTCTGTGACCGAGAATAAAGGAGGCAGGGGCAGTGGGAACCGTGACTCCGGCACCAGCCGAGCAGGGATCAGCCCTGCCAGGACGGACAAGAGCTGGAGGAGCAGCCAGGGGCTGGACCTGCCCTTTCGGAGCGGTGGGAGTGACATGCTGGTCTTCATTCCAGCCAGGACCGACCTGCCGCAATGCCGTGTCTAAACCCAGCCGTTCCTAAATCCTGCGCTGGTGCTGAGAATTCCCGGCTAAGGCATCGGAGCATCCCCCTGGCCGGGGCAGCCCTTCCCGCAGCATCCCAATAAAGGAATAAACCAAGGAAAAGCTTCCAAGCGCGGGTTGGAGAGAGGGGAGCGAGCCGGGGCTCCCGTGGCAGGGAAATGCCGATCCTGGAGTGCCACCTCGTGGCTCCAACCCTGAGATCCTGGCTGCTCCATCCTGGCAGTGTCCGGGGTTGGACGGGGCTTGGAGCAACCTGGGACAATGGAAGATGTCCCTGCCCATGGTAGGATGGGACTGGGGGAGCTTTAAGGTCCCTTCCAACCCAAACCATCCTGGGATTCTCAGGAATTTCAGCCCAAAGGAGGGAGTCACTCCCACTTGCAAATATTTCACGCTTGGCCACAAGTTTTGTCTTGCTCCAAGCATAAAACGTGGCCAGGACACTTTTCTGATAGAGCAAAGGTTGTTCTTGTCTTCTTTTAGCTTTTCCTGAGGCACTAAAATATTGAAGAAGGAATTCATCCTGTGTGCAGAAGGACACGACAGATTGGCTCATTAGGGCTTGACTCTGGAAACAGGAGAGTTACTGAGGCCTCTGTATGGATTTCATTGAGCTTTGAGCTTTGGGCCTGTGTTTGGCAAGGGACAAAGCTGCAAACTGTGCAGGAAAAGGGGATTTCTTGCAGGTTTTCATCAGTGTTGGCGCTGGGAATTCGTAGCCTGGCTTTCCTCCTCTTTTGGGCAAATTGGAAATAGGTTGGTGTGTCTGGAGAGGTTTAGTGCCTCTGATCCCCTTCCCATGGCATCAACCAGGGATCCCCCTTGGACCTGGCTTCCCACAACGGTGTGAGCCAATCTGCAGGGTTTGTCCTCATCTCTCAGAGCTGGAGAGCTGCAATTATCTGTTTTCCAGAGCAGCTGTGCCTGCCCCTGCCCTGGAAGTGTCCAAGGCCAGGCTGGCCAGGGCTTGGAGCAATCCAGGATAGGTGAAGGTGTCCCTGCCTTGTGGAATGAGAGGAGCTCTAAGGTCCCTTCCAACCCAAACCATTCTGGGATTCTGTATTGCCCCTTGTCTCAACCCTCCCACTCACAATTCCCAGCTGGAATTGCATTGCCATGGAGCAGCACAAAGCCAGGAACAAAAACGTTGGGCCCAAATAAACAATATTTTCTGCATACCAGATTTTGAAGCATTTATTCTTTTATTTGAGGATAGTTTACAAGTTTATAAGAATCAGGTTGTCCGTCCATCCATCCATCCATCCATCCAACCATCCATCCATCCATCCATCCATCCCAGCACCATTACAGTCCATGTTTGCAGGAGGAGTGGAAATGTGCTCATGGCTGATCAGGCTGAATATTTCCCAGCCCAAACCTTCTCATCAGAGTTTTTCATGGTGATTTCCCAAGGAAAAAACACCAAAAGTGCTTCCAAGTAGAGAGGCTGAGAGAGAATTTGGGGAGGCGAGCAATAAAAATACAAAATATTGGGGGAAAATCAAGTTTTCTAGAAGAAAGGGAGAAATAAAATGCTATTAAATAAAAATAGTGATGTGAAAGAGCTGCTGGAGAGAACTGAGGGGTGAAAAGAGAGGAGCTGGGAATGTTTGAGTGCTGTCCCCAGCTGCTCCCAGCTGTGCCTCCTCCAGCTGTGCCCAGCTGTGCATTCTCCAAGAGTCCCCACAGATGACAGAGCTTGGACACAGTGGGAAGGAGATTAAATAGCTCTGACAGTTCCTCCTGTCTGAGATGATGGTGTGAGGGGAAAGGGATGGTGGAGGGATGGGGAAAAACCATCAGGGAGAGCAGGTGGCAGGTGGGATTCGTCCCAGAGGGAAAAGGGATTGTACTGGTCCAGTCTCAGATCCATCTCCTGGGGTGCAAAACACCTCATTGCAGAAAGACAGGGCACTGAATCCCCTAAAACCAAAACAACAACCCCCTCCCACCAGGGCTGGGGGATTTCTGCTACAGGGAAAATCCAGCGAGCCCAAACCACATTTTCCAGCAGAGCAGGAGCAGTAAATCCAACCCCTGTTCCGCCACTGCTTTCTGAATGAAATTGCGAACCAGGGATGCTGGCACAGTGCGTGACGATCACGGGGATCTGTCAGGAGATGAGACATCTGTGCAGCAGGTGTGGGGCATCAGAGTGGATGAGACACTGCACGAGAAGCTGGGATTTTAATGCAGGCAGAAACATTAAAAAAAAAATAAAGTTGAGTGAAACAGTGAAGTGGGAACAAAATGTTTTTGTCAAAAACCTGCTGGCATTGGAGAGAATGGCAAAATGAGCTGTTGCTGGCTGCTCCCATCCAAAGTGCCACTGGAAATTTGCATTTTGAGGAGAGCAGAAGTGCCTTGTTACAACAGGGAGCAGAGCTGTCAGGAAATGTTGGCTCTGGTTGCTCTGTGCCCCTTTGCAGCCCCAGAAGTGACAATAAAAGCTACAAGGTCACAGTGGCTCATCCCCAGGGTTGTTTGTAGACCAAATAACGAGCATTTGTTGCAGGAGAAATCCCATTCCCTCTCTCAGAGCTCAGTTTTCCAGCAGAAACCCCGGTGGGCTTTGAGCTGCAGTGCCCTGGACCTTTTGGGGGCTGTGCCACCGTGTCTGGTCAGCAACCCCAAATCCCCCCTGGTGCCTCGGGTCCATCCGTGACTGCCCACCCTGCTGTGCCATCAGAATTAACGAGTCAGGCAGACCAGGGAACTCATCCAGCTAAAAATACCCCTGCCCATTTCTTTTTGCCAGCTTATTTTTCAGTCAGAGCTGTAGCAGGTCTGGGAATTTGTCAGAACCCCAGATCTGAAGTGGTGGGTGGGGAGGAATTATTTAAAATATTTAAATCTATTTTTATAAGCAAAGCAGGGAGCTGGACCCACCCTCATCCCTGGACAGCTGGGTGTCACCAAGCCAAGCATTTCATGTCATTTTGCCCTTTTTCCTCTCCAGTAAATGGGGAAATCTCTGTATGTGGGGGAATTCCACTCTGACGCCAGGGAGTGTGGAAGAAGAGAGAAGACAAATGTCAAGCAGATGAGCATCAAATAAAAAACCACCAGACCGATGGGCAGGGCAGAGAGATAAGAAAGATGGTATTTATTTGAACAGCCACAGGAAATCAGAGATTGAAAAATGTCTAAAAAAACAAAAAAGCAGCAGCATGTTATTAAACAAACAAAAAAAAAACAAAAAAAAAAAAACAAAAAAAAACCAAAACAAAAAATCAGAGCATGCAGATGTTGGATATGTTTTCCAGCCGATCCCACCTGACTGTGCCTAGTCTCTCAGGGCCTCAACCATCATTTTTTGGCCTTGTCTCGAGGGTAACCCCCATTGGTCTTATTGAGTGACTCCATGCTGCCGTTGCCCGTGGCCACGCTGGCCAGCAGCCGCTCCACCTCCCCTGGCAGCATCTGCTTCTCCTCGTTCTCCGTCTCCCGGTGGTAGAAGTAGTTGAAGTTGGAGACGATGACGGGCACGGGCAGGGCGATGGTCAGCACCCCCGCGATGGCGCACAGGGTCCCCACGATCTTCCCGCCCAGCGTGGTGGGACACATGTCCCCGTAGCCCACGGTGGTCATGGTGACCACGGCCCACCAGAAGCCGTCGGGAATGCTGGAGAAATGGGACTGCGGCTCGTCGACTTCCGCGAAGTAAACGGCGCTGGAGAAGAGGATGACGCCGATGAAGAGGAAGAAGATGAGCAAGCCCAGCTCCCTCATGCTGGCCTTGAGGGTCTGCCCCAGGATCTGCAGCCCCTTGGAGTGCCGGGAGAGCTTGAAGATGCGGAAGACCCTGACGAGGCGGATGATCCGCAGAATGGCCAAGGACATGTTCTGCTGCCCGTTGAGTTCGCTCTGCTGGATCAGCTCGGTGGTGAGCGTCACGAAGTAGGGGATGATGGACACGATGTCGATGATGTTCATGATGTTCCTGAAGAACTCGGTCTTGCTGGGGCACACGATGAACCGGACAAAGAGCTCAAAGGAGAACCAGACGATGCAGGCGGTCTCTATGACGAAGAAAGGGTCCGTGAAGGTGCTGTGGGACAGCAAGGTGTCTGTCACATTCTTAGAAAGCTCCTGGGTGGACCTGAACTCCCTCTCCTCCCGGAACTCTGGCAGGGTCTCCATGCAGAAGATGATGATGGAGATGACAATGACCAGGACGGAGACCAAAGCTACACCTCTGGCTGCACTGGAGCTTTCAGGGTACTCAAAGAGCAGCCAGAACTGCCTGTGAAAGTCATTGGTTGGTAAGAGGGTCTCAGGATCCTTGATGAACCCTTCATCCTCCCGGAACTGGTCCATGGCTTCATCACCCAGCTCATAGAAGGTGATTTCATCAGCAAAGACGTCGATGGGGACGTTGGCCGGGCGCCGTATTTTCCCCCCAGACTGGTAATAGTACAGGATCCCATCAAAACTGGGCCTGTTCCTGTCAAAGAAATATTCATTCCTCATGGAGTCGAAGTAACGCATCCTCTTTTCTGGGTCCCCAAGCAAGGTCTCGGGGAACTGGTCGAGGGTCTTGAGCCGCGTCTCAAACCTCAGCCCAGCGATGTTGATGATGACTCGTTGGTCCCCCTCATCCATGCCCACCCTCTCCCCCACCAGGTGGTCGCTGAACTCGGCGGAGAACCTGGAGAAGATGGTCTCATTGTTGGCGTTCTCGCTGTTGATGAGGATCCGCAGGTTGGACAGGAGGTTGGCGCAGCTGGGGTGGCCCTTCCGCGACTGCCCCGCGGGGCTGAGGTCGTTGGAGTAGCAGGGATCCTCCACGATCTGATCAGCGTTGTCAAAACTGACTAGTGCCACCTCCATCTCCTTCCAACTGGCCACGTCCATCATACGCTAATCAGCTCAGCAGCAGAAATCCCCGCGGCCGATGCCGGCTGCCCGCGCCTTTCCCACGCTAGGAGGATCTGCAAGGGACAGGGACACAGAGCTGAACTGTGCAAGTGCAGGGTGAAACAAACCTGAGGCCACACCATCCTGCTCTGTTTGTTAACGGAAGCATTAATGCCGTTGAGTAGCAAAATGACTTCCAGCAAGTCGCTCAGCATTGCATCCTGCACGCCCTTTTGGCACGGCTTTGCCATGGTTAATCCTTCCCAAACCACCTACAGACCCAAGGATGAAAGGTCAGGCAGCAGCAGAGGATGGGGTGAATCCAGGTGTCCCACCCAGCCTCTCCCAGTGATCCCAGAGCAAGGGCTCGTTTAATCTGTTTCCAGGTGCGGATCCAAAGCTCAGACCGGGACTTGGAGGTTTTGAACACGGCTGTCCCAAGCTAAGAGCAGCCCTTGATCCAGGTGGGAGAGGCATTGGGTCAGAGCCCAGGAGGTCCTGGGCACACTGCAGATGGGTCAACCACTGTTTGGAAACAATCCCCAAAGCAGAAACCACACTGGGATTTGGGGAATGCAGCCCAGGGGGAAGAAGGCCAGGAGGAGAAATGTCCACCAGCCTTGGAGAACCCCTTTGCTCTGGGGAGAGGATCCCTGGCCTCAGGGCAGGCAGAGGACGGGGTGAAATCCTCCAGAGCTCTCCTCGCCCTCCTCCACACCAGACCTGATGTTCCCAGCCCCAGGAAGAAGCTCAGGACTAAGCCTTTGGATCCCTTGGAGAGAACCTTTCAGGCCGTGGGGTGGATTCTTTCCCAGCCAACTCTGAGAGGCGCTCAGGAGCAGTCACCACATCCCCAAATATTCCTGGGCACACATCTCCCCACACCGACATCATTCTGAGCTCAGCAAAGTCAAAGAGGAGCCCAGGGACCAGGCCAAGTTATGGAGCTGGGAAATTACATGTCCTGCCTCAGGGAGAAGCACAGACAGAAATTAGGTGTTAACAGGGAGCAGTTCTGTGGAGATTTCCCCCAGAATGAACTTTCCAAGTAAATTCAGCGCCCTGATTTATTTCCCCTCCAAATGTATTTCCCAGACATGAGACACCCCAGGAGGACATGTGGAGCTGCTCTGCGTGACCGCTGCTCACCAAGGGCACTCTGGCTTTCTTACCCAGCCAGCTCCAGCGAGAGGGAGACAAAAAACCCAAATGCCCTCAGCTGCCAGGAATAGCAGCACAATTTAGGCCAGGAGCAGCAGCAGTGGAGTCAGGGCCAGTCCTGTGATGAGGATGGTCCCCAGTGCTGGGTTTGCTTCCAGGGCTGGCCAGGGACCCATCTCCCCATAGGGCTGGGCTGCTCCCTGAGCTGATTTGGGGTGCTGAAGGCTTTGCCTCCCTGGAAGCCGAGGATCCATCCTTGCTGACACACAGCTGGGGTAGGACAAGCCAGAATCCCCAATCTGCTGTAGGAATGGGCATGAAGAGCCTGACTTGCTATAAATCCTCCCTCTCCTCCTCTCAGCTTTACAGCCCTGGCAGCAGAAGCTCATTCAGGACTCAGCATCCATGGGTCAACCTCTCTCCTCAGTAGAAGAGATTCTGCATTTGGAGAAAAATCCTACAATTTATCATAAGCTCTTTACAGACCGGGTCTCTTTGCTTGAACTAAACTCACAAAGCTTGACTGTTCTTGGAAATCCATCCCTACGGAGCTGCTGCAGGCTGGCTTTGTGCTGAATTTCCCTCTTGGGGACGTGTAGAGAGGAGTGGCAGGGGCAAGGGACAGAACTGATGCCTGGGGCAGCAGCAGCAGCAGCAGTGTGGTTGTGTCTTCAAAGTGACCTCAGGCAAAGCTGGGGAGCCTCAAGGACTCCAAACCTGAGTCCTCCAGCCATGCCCAGCTTGGATATTCCCAAGGTGTAGCTGTTCTCCATGGGGCTGGGTTCATCCCAGGCTGGACTATTTGGTGGCTTTGTGGGAAGCTGGTGCTGCCAGGATGATTTGTGGCCTCAGAGCAGCAACCCAGAGCTGAGGATAACCCTGGTTTCAGGAGCATCAGGAGGCCTACAAAGGGATACAGCAACAAACCTGGCCCAGATAAAGCACTTTCAAGGGAAAAATAAGTGTTAAAGGAAAGAAGAAAAGCAGCACACATCATTCCCTTCTTGCCTACTTGTTTTTTCTTGATATAAATCCCAAGCTCATTTATAAATCAAAATAAAATAAAGTTTGAATGAGAGTTCAGTGTTCAGTGGCAGGGTGAGCTGACCTGGCCCACCACACCTCCAGCCAGAGGGAGGACCCAGAGGGGTCCACAGGTAGAGGAACTTCTCTTGGCAGTGGAACAAAGCTGAGCAGCTAAAGCTGAAATTCCCTGGGTGCTTTAGCTCCATTTCAAGTCCTTAGAACAATTTCCCATTGGATGCAGGGCTCTGAGGTTCCTTTCCTTACCGTAAATCCCCAGAGCATGCTGATGTTTGTCTGTCCCATCACTGGAGGGAGGTGCCCCACCTGACCCCAAACCACCTTATCTGTCTCGTTTTTAATTAAGACCAAAATTAACAGTGCATCCCAAAGCCACAAAACATCCTCTCTAAGCTTTCCTCCACGCTCCGGGCTCCAGCCGAGGCTTGAACTAGAAAGTTGCCTCATTTTTTCCTCCTAAATCACCCAACATCTGCTTCTCAGAATCTGATTAACTAATATCCTTCAGCGGAAATCCCTGCCTGTGGAAAATCATAATAATAACAAAAAAACCACGCGAGGGAGAGCGACGGTGAAAGAGAAAGGTCATTTGGAGGGAGAGTTGGTGTTTTACCCAGCACATCCCAGTGAGTCGGGGCTGTGGTTTCCACCAGGCTCCCTGCACCCAGTGAAACCTTCCCGCCTGCAATCCCCTCCTCCTGTGACCACCCTGTAGGAACAATGTCCATTCCCAAGGTTTTTCCAGATTATTGGAGGTGTTGAGCCTCTTCTCCCCTCTCCTGTCCCCTCCCCTCCCCATCATCATCCCTGGGTGGGATGAGCAAGGAGGAGATTCTCCCGCTGCCCGCCCACGCCAGCGCCTGCGGGGACTTACCTGGACCGGGCATGGAAGCGCCAGGGCTCTCTGCACCTGGGGAGAGAGTTATTGCACACAGACGGGCTGTGCGGGGAGAGCGGAGCTGGGGGAAAAGCCCAGCCATACCCTGGGAAGGCGCTAACGCGGACAATGTCATTGCAAAGGCTCCTCTCTTCGCTCCACCGGGGCTTTGGCAGGCGCGGCCGCGGGATCCGGCACCCCTGGGAGCCCCGAAACCAGCCGGGGCTCCATGGGCAGGGCGCTGGTGGCGGCTGGGGACAGACACCCTGTCCCCAGGGAGGGGGACCCGCCGCCCACCTCTGCCCCCAGCCGGCAGGACGTGCCCTTCTGGCGGTGCCACCTTTAATCCCCAGTAATGCTCCGATGGTCCAGCGCGGACGGGTCTTGTCCGTGACGTGGCGAGGTCTGAGCTGGTCCCGGGAGGGGGGACAGGGACCCGCACAGAGCTGCCACCGGGAGAGGGATTCACGGCGGGCAAAGGGCTCTTTTTGGCATTACTATAAAAGAATGGCTTTAAAAAGAGGAGGGGAGGGGAAAGCCCAAGGGTTGGAGCATCCCCCGCTGCCCACCTACCTCTCGCCTGTGGTCGTGGGGACAGCGGGCGCCTTTCCAGGAGGGGACGGCCACAGTGCCACCGCCACCACCACGTGGGACATCTCCGTCCCCGCCCCGGGGTGACTGGGACCAGTTGCAGCAGCGGGTGCAGCTGGCACAGCCCAGCAAAGGGCACCGCTGGGGGACGAGGGAGAGGAGGGACGTGGCCCTTCCTCACGCCCGGGTGCAGCTGGATGCTGGCTCCGACCCCAGCGCCACCGGGCTTGCCACCTCCAGGAATTAATTAATGAATAAATAAGCACCCCGGGTGGACAGGACCAGGCAGGTTGGCCCGAGTCGTTAAAATAACCGGGATTTTTGTTTTCTTTCCCTATTTTTAATTTCATTCCGTTCCGGAGCCTGCTGCTGCTCACGGGCATCTCGCCTTGGGTGCCCCAGGGTGATTTCGCCCCTGTTGGCCTCACCCAGGGCTGGATCTGCCTCTGCCTTCACCCAGGTTATCTTCCCACTCTCCTCTTCCTCCTCCGTCCCCTCCTCGCCCTCCCAGGCTGTGGGGGAAGGCAGGGGAGGGGGTGGCACATTTCTACCCGCAGGCTTCAGCCTGAATTCCTGAATTCCTCCTCGGTGACGTTCCTTTGCTCTTGAGGGACCCGCTCACCTCGATTTCCCCCCCTCCAGCATCCTTTTCTGTCCTCTGAGCTATTTCTCCTCTCATGACGTTAATGAGCACATTAAACCTCCCTGTCCCGGAGGAGAGCCCGGCTTGGAGCGGCTGGAGCATCTCACAGACATCTCCAGCCTTCTGTGGGGGAAAGGGGACAGGAGATTATCCAAACCTTTGATCAGGTCCTTCGGGGAGGCTTTATCATTTTACACACCATTTCTCTATCCTTGTAGACTACAAGTCCTTAAACTTACCCTCATCCCAGCGAGGCCATCTGTTAACAAAAAATAATTCAATTTATATTCCTGGCACCCCCATTCAGCTTGTGTCCATCTCACCTCCAAACCCAGCTTTGGAAGGGCTTTGACCACAGGGTGATGGGGGCTGTAGGCAAAACCTGATCTTTTTGGGGGGTTTTTTTCCCCAAAAATCTACTTGGAACTATCCAGGACCACTTCCTGCACCTGGGCAAAGAGCAGCTGTGGCTGAGGGAAACGCAGAGCATGAAAAGCATCCAGAGGAGCAGGAGATCTGGGTTGTGCCGGGGCTGGGGAGCTTGAGCAAAGCCCCACTGATAACGGGGATATCCCTGGAGTGAAAGCAGTGCTGTGGTCCAGGGGAGACGGGCACGGGGGGAGAAGCCCGGAATAACATCCCTGCCTGCCAGAAACGGGACAGTTACACAACTCCTGCTCTCCGGGGAGCTCGGCTGCACCCCGGACACCCCCGGGACAGTTCTGCCTTTGTATCCTGCCAAGGTGACTCCAAACACCCTCCTGGC